TCAAAATGCTTTTTTCTCTCACATACCTTTGGGCCTTTGCACATACTGTTCTGCTACCTGGAACACTCTTCCTCTGATTTTTAATCCAATTTCAGGTCCCAGTTGAGACATCATCCCCTCCAGGAAGCCTCCCTGATCTCCAAAGGGGGGACGGGGGTTATGTATCACTTTTAGGTGCTCCTGTGACAACACCCTGTATTTCCTCCATCTGGGAAGGGGACTCTGGCGCCCTGTTACAATCACCTGTGAGCTCCTTGAAGACAGGGGCAGGGCCACCACCAGTTCAACTAGGAAGAGAAAAGGGGCAAACAAATAACTGGCTTCCAAAATACTTGGGGGCCGCTCCCTCCAGTTTTTGCCTGCATGCCGCACATCTACAAATTACGTATTAGTGACATCTTTATGTCTGTGCTTCCTTTTCTTAACGCCAGTGTCCAGACATTCGGTCAGAAGCCACCTCTGTGTCATTTGCCATGCGCTATCTCCAGCAGGCAGCCAACTGCCCGAGACCAACTAAGTGCACACACAGGACTTTTTAAATGAATATGGGAACAAATGAGGGTCCAGCTAATTAAGACTCAGAAAAAAGGAATCTCTAAATTAGATCTGGAGCCAGACAGCTTGGCTTCATAACTTAGTTCTGCCACTTAGGAGCTGTGTGATCTTGAGCAAGTTACTCAGCCTTTCTGTGCTTTCGGTTTCTTTGTCTGTAAACCAGGGGTGACCTACATCATAGGATGTGTGAATACTAAATAAATGGATAAGTACCAAGCACTTGACAACACCTAGTTCAAGTGAAAGCTCAGCAGGGTTGGCCCTGGTTATTCTGTTGCCATGACTACCTGCCCAGCTATAAAACTAGGTTACCAAAGGCTACTTCTTTGGGGTTTAGGTTGATGAAAGGTGTTCCTGGGATCCTTCTATTCCAAGTTTCTAATATCCCAGAGGGAAAGTTGGTTGGGGGTGGGGGGGATGGGAACCTGGCAGAGTGGAACTCATTACCACCCCAGTGCAAGCATGAGGCTCCTTTTGGCCTCCCCGGCCCCCCAATTAAAGGCCTTTGCCTGCCCACAGTGGAACAGGGGATAATTGAGCAGTGACCTGTCATAGCCCCATTTTCTGGTATGTTTCACCCCAGGCATCATAACTATCATTTGCTTAGTGGAGAAAAATCAAAGGGCTCAGGACTGAGGAGGTGGGGGGGAGGGGGTGTAAATAACAATGTGGGGCCTGCTTCAGGGAGATTATTTTCCCCATGGGGGACTTGCTTTTGAAGTGGTGGTCAGGCTTTAGGGCCCTGGAGAAGCCTTGGAGCTTTTTCTAGGAGCTAAGGTCCTCCCCTTCCTTCCCAATCCTTCAGCCTTCCTGGACAAGTGTGACTCGGTGAATGAGTGAATGAGTGAGTGATTGCACACGCTCTCTCCGCTGGCCTGGCACGCAGACCAGTGCTCCCAGACTTGCCCACACACACATCCTTGGCAGTCTTGTTAATATGCAGACTCTGACTCTGCGGGTCTGGGGCGAGGGTGCTGGGATTCGGCATTGCTAAGGAGCTCCCAGGTGATGCTGATGCTGCTTTTCTCAGCTATCACTGCGCTAAGTAGTCTGAAAAACCAGGGTCATCAAGCCTCTTTCAGTGCTCAGTTAGAAAAGTCCAGGCACGCCAGCCTAGAGTCAGAACACAGGAATGGTGAACACACCCTTCCCACCACTGTCCCCAAAAGGGGGCAGTTGCCCCAAAGAAACTGTGGGATTCCCTAGCATGTGTTTAGTTATTCAAAACTAGTTACAGCTCACCTAGTATATGCCAGGCACTGGGGAGAGGGTTGGTTACAATAGACATTGACCTGAGTAGAGGAGAGAGACTAGCCCTGAACAAGAATACACACTCACATGTGAAAGGAGCCAGGAATTGAGACTGAGGCCCTCTCATAGAGCAGGACCTACAATGTCCCATCTATGGGAAAGGGACTCCAGAAGGGGAGCAGGAAAAAACCCTCCTCCCACTGCCAAAAGGAGATGACAAAGAAGTCCATGTCATCCCAAACTCAGGGAGGGAAAAGCAAGACCTCCCTTCTTCAGCATTCTTTGGTGAGGTCTGTACCATTAAATTTAAATACAATGTGCTAGAAATGTCCCTGGGGCTTTTAAGCAGCCGTGGGTTTCTAATAATACTGTTAAACTCTGAAATTAGAGAAATAACCCAAATTCCACTTTTAATCAATCGTGAGGCCTGCGGCTTAATTTTTGTTAAATACAGATAAGCTGAGAAATATGGTATGTGCTGTGATGTTTTGTGTTGCTTCACTGTGGGGTTATTTTGTATTTTGGGTGTTCTGCTTTCTACCCAGGGTAAGGTTTCTACTGACATTTGGGGCTGAAAACTCTTCGTGGGTAGGGGTGTTGTCCTGTTCCTTATAGGACATTTAGCAACGTCCATGGCCTCTACCAATTGAATACCTATAGCATTCCCCCTGTTTTTAACAATGAAAAATGTCTCTAGGCATTGCCCAGTATCCCTGGGGGTCAAAATTGCCCCTAAACCACTGCTCAAGGGTGACCAACTGAGGGATGTGGGACTTTCAATTTTAAAACTGGAACTATTCCAGGAAAGCTGGGATGGCTTGACCACCATACTTCCACCTCTAATAGAAGTCGTTAGGATGGGTGGGAGTGGGGAAAAAAATTTAGCATCAGAAATCCCATACTCTGCCAATCAGTCTAGGCAACTCCTGGACAAGCCAATGAGTGTCCTTAATTATAAGTCATGGGTTGGAAAGAAAATAGAAATGGTTTGCTGCTTCTTATTCATGCTAAGGACAAAACTGCTTCAAAGTAGCTGAGTCCCTCTGTGTAGAAGCCAGTGCCCGAAAGTTCCCACAAAGAGCTCAGTAACACTGAGCTTCCCAAGGGGTCCTTCAGTCCTCTTGGTGGTGGCCAAGAGGACTGAAGGACCCCTTCTCTCTTGGGCAGGCATTGTGGCAACATCCTCCTAGACCAGTGGTCTCAGCTGAGAAAAAAGGAGACCAAGCCCCGGGGGGGCAGGGACAGGCCGAGGATGCTGAGCCCACTGAACTCCCCATGTACAGCTCTCTTCCTTTGCAACATAGAGGAGAATTAAGGGAGCCAACTGTGAATCCATTTAGAAAATGGTGCTCATTGAAAGACAGTTGACCAGAAGGACCAACTAGGGGGGTAGGACAAACCAGGACTGACCAGTGCAGCTTCCAGGGGTGGGGAAAGTGCTGGTCCTACTCAAATGGAAAAACCCATTGGCTCCGACAGGACGTATAGCTTGAACCCTGCCTGTTTAGCATGGCTCTACTGATTAACGTCACTGCCCTTTTCTTCAGGAAAATGCACAGAGGTGCACAGACACACTTTCAATTTTGCATTTACTTTCAGGGGATTCACTGGACTCCTGAAACACCTCAACCCCGATTATGAAACCCTGAGCTAGTCATTAATAATCTTACTATTACAAAGCAATCCGTATCTGCCAAGTGCATGGCAAATTTAGTTGGCCAAATTAGTTGGCCTAGCGACCTTATGAAGTGGATGCTAAAAGACAATTAAGCAGTTTCAGCCCTGTTGATTTCCCCCTGATGAAATATCATGTGGACTTTAAGATCAAAGACTTTGGTGTCGGGAGGCCTGGGTTCCAATCCCTACTTTGCCACTTACTAGCAGGATAACCTTGGGCAAGTCAACCTGTTTAAGCAGTTTCCCTAATATGATCATAAATGCTCAATAAATGTTGTCTTCTACCTTTTTATTCATGCTCAGCCGGCTATTATGGTGGCTTCAAAGGCAAAGATTCCACACCCCTGAGCACTGCAAAATGTACCCCAAAGATCAGCCAGTTTGACAGCTGAGAAGAGAAGGAACAAGCCAGTATCACACAGCATATCAGGTGCAGAGCTGGTGGTTGGGACTCGGGCACCCCAATCTCGGTCTAATAAATGTCACCACTGGCCACTGCCTGCCCTTACAGATTAGCCACTCAACCTAGTCCGGGGTGGTTCTCAGCATGTCTTCCTCCCTACAGCCAGTCATCTGGGGTTATGTTTTTTGTTTTTTGCTTTTTGTTTAAAGTATCTCCTAAAGGGCTTCCAGAGGGGGTAAAGCTTGGGAGAAATTGATTATCTCAAATGTGGGTTTTTCACTTATGCCCTTTCAGAATTAAGAACAAACCCAGTAGTTCGATGAGCTAATGATATAAAGTCTTGGCTGTAATTTGTCAAGAAACACATGGGGAAAATGTCCACTCCTGCCAGAAAGCCCAGACTTGCAAATGGAAACAAGATACCATTTTTTGCTTATAAAATTTGCAAAGATTGCCATTAAAGTGGTAATACTCGCGCTGGAAAGGCAGGGTGAGAGGGGCACTCTCAGGCCGTATAAATTGCTTTCAGGAGGCAATTTAGAAAATTGTATCAAACCTTAAAAATCTGTCCTCAGAAAATCATGAGAAATGCTGAAAAGGCTTTATGCACAAGGCTGTCCATCTCAGCATAATGTGTAATTGTTTTTTAAAAAGGGAAACAATATAATTATCCACAAATAGGGGAATGATTAAATAAACTCTAGAGGGGCCACTCAGTGGACTATTCAAGAGCTATTTAAAACAACGTTTACTAAAACTTACAATGGCATTGGGGAATGCTTATACTCTAATTTTTAGAAATCAGAATACTGACAGGTGTGCATAATACAGTGTAATCACAATTGAATTTTTAAAAAATTAGTGCATTGAAGCACGACATAAAGAAAAGTATACTAAAGTAGTGATATTTTCCAAGTATTCCGTAATGAGCATATATTACTTTAATTACTTCGTAAATTGTAGGTATGCCTAGGTTTTTTGGACCTCAAGGGTAGAATTGAATTAATCATAACGGAACATATGTTACTTTCACTCTTGAAAATATGGCATAAGCTGTAGAAACAATGTTCACACTGCCAGCCTCCCTCCCAGCCTGTCTCCTCTCTGCCCCCAGCCATGCCAGAGCTGCTCCAGGCTTCCCAGTGCCCACTGTTCTGGATGGAGTTCAAAGGCCACTGCTATCAATTCTTCCCTCTCAATAAGACCTGGGCCGAGGCTGACTTTACTGTTCTGAGTTCTCCGTCGGCTGGAAGTCCGCCAAACTGGCCTCCATCCCCTGGTGAGTGGGCTCCTTGGTCCTCCATAGGCCAACCAAGCACCCCCTTTGGAAAGGGGAGTGGAGAATGACGTTTCTCTTTAGTGATTGAAACTGACTTTTATCCAGCCCAATGTCTTATTGAAACTGTCCTTGGCAATGGAAGGCAAAGCGTTTAGTAAGAGGAGCAAAGCGTGTGCTGTAAAATTCATCTTTGTAAGTGTCGATTTGTGGGGTGCCCTGCTCTTTATCACAGGGGGTTTGGCCCTACATTGCAACTCCCACGATAAACATACAAACAATATGATATAAGGAATAATAGCTGATGTTTATTTGTGAAGTAGTTTATATACATCATCATATTAAACCTCCCTCAAACCAAATTAGGTAGGTATCTCCATTTTACAGATATGGATCTGAGTCTTCAAAAAGGTAAGTAACTTGCTCCAAGTTACACAGCTATAGAGTGGGGAAGCTCAGCTATGAACCTGAACAGTCCAGTCATAGCCCACCCACCAAGGCGTCCTTCAGTGTCCTCTGTCTCCTAAGCCCCAGGTACAGGGACCATCTCAGAGTTCTCCAGTCTGGTCCAGCCCTTTAATGTCTCCATACCTCGCACATTCTGTTCCCTCTGCTGGAAATTCCTATCCATATTTTCTCCTCCAGATAGGGTAGATACCTTCTCAACCTTCAAGACACAACTCTGACAACATCTCTTCACCAAAGACCCCCCTGTCTCTGTGGCAGCCTAATTGCTCTCATTACCCACCTCTCCCAGAGCACATTCTTCATCACAGTTTAAGGACCTGTTTCACATCTGATGTCCTTGCTTATCTGTAGATTCCTCGAAGCCAGATGTGATATGTCCCATTGCCACCCCCACTACGAATTCACGATCTTGCCTGTTTTTCAAGAATCTCAGAGACTGAAGTTAAAAACAGTTGATTCTTTATGCTTTAGAGTGACTGAGTCTTGTTAAAAATAAGATGGGTGCTCTCTCCTAGTTTCCAAAGGCGTCTTGACTCCTCATCTCTTCATCCAGCAGATATATTGAGCACCCATTATATTCTCAGCGGTGCTGAAGAACATAGTGAGAATACAGGATCAGACCAGGAAAACGGGAGCCGCTACAAATACTTAAAACAGAGAGAATTTAATACATACATAAGTGATGGAATCTGAGAACTTGAGGAGATGGGAGTGAAGCAACCTAGAGATTCACAACAGCAGGAAAGCCAATTCTGCTTCTAACCGAAGGGTAGGCCCATCCTGTGGAAGCTGGAGCCACTGAGGCGAGGCAGCACCAGACAGAGACCCCCTAGGCAGAGAGGGAAAGAAACACCCTGACTTCTGTCTCCCTCCCCTTCTCCATCGGTGGTCACCTTACTTGGGGACGGCTGACATGACAGGGAAAGGCGGCCTTCAAGCGTCAAATCCCCTGCAACAGAGAATGCAGCACAAGACTGGTGCATATGAAGGTGGATAAGTTCTCAGAAATTCCCAGCCTATAGAGGAAAGTGAGATATATGCAAAAAAAGAGTAAATTTAAAAGTAACTCCAGTTGAAGAGTTTCCTTTAGCCAGCCCTTGGGAAGGACAGTTCAGCCTGCCTCAGGGCGCCTGGGAACTAAACTTTGGTTAACTGGGCAGCAGAAGGATTTTAGGCAAGTTCAGGGGTTTTCCAGCAATATCTGGCCCAACTCCTGTTCTTTTCTCCCTCAACTTACTGTCTTCCTCTCTTCTCAACTCCTGACGCCCCCTCGTCTTCTCTTATACTAATATTCTCCCCCTTTCCTCTCTTTTACAGGTCGTTTTCCATTTTGGCATAGAATACTTCCCAGAAAGCATGAACAAGAGTTGAATTTGAACAATAATTTGTTATCAGTAAGGTTTCGTTCCCATAAAATTGGACACTGTTATAAAATTCCCAATTATATCTTGTCTTTGAGACACAATTCAATTCTATATTTCTGGTGTTTTCTTCATGCTTTTTAATTTTGTCTTTTCTTTCCTAATTAAACACACAATCAGCTTATATCCATGGGGCACCTGATTGGAGTTCGAGGTTCTTACACTGTCAGCTTAACTAATAATTTCCATCTTTGTTTCAAGCAACAATTGAATTGAATTAAGTTCATTTGATCTCTGCTCCTTATTACTTGCAATAACACTGTGGGCCTTTCTCTTTTCTAGTTATTTTGACCAGATATTGGGAAATAGCAATAAAATATTGAAACTGTTTCCTAAGCACGAGCTGTTGAACAAAAATGGTGATAGCGCCAACCTGACCGGGCGGCCACCCCGCGGATGACTGCCCGCATGCATGTCCAGCAGTTGGTATAGGAGACCCTGAATTGTGTGTGAGAGGGACATTTGGGGATGCCAGTGCTCAGCCTGCTGGGTAGGACCAAGGTCAAAGGCCTGTTGGACTGAAGAACACTTTGTCCCCAGAAATCATACTACTTCTTCTTCCTTTTTTTTTTTTTTTTTTGGTCTCTTCATGGTATCTCCAATATAACCCACCTTGTTTGCTAGTGTTTTGAGGTGAAGTCATACCTTTCAGATGAATAACATTACTGAGTCCTGCTCTGAGCTGGCACAGATCAAATCCAGGGGTGCCCATGAGATAATAGCCACATCCAGTAACCTAATTAAAAAAGAAAAAGGAGGAAAAAAGCTGGATTGCAACATATCCTCTATTTACTTTGGTGCAGGAAGGTTAACAAGGATAGCTTTCAGATTTCTGTGAACAGAGGCAACAAGTAACATGCTGCTGTGTTTCTTACCTTCGCAGCTGGGAGGAGAACATCTTTGTGTGTGACCTTGTGAACAGCTGTGTTCCTGGGATTCCAGCTGACACCTGGACAGGGCTTCACAACCACGGACAGGTGAGGAAGCAACGGCCAGCAGGCCCTCTTGGAAGCTCCAGCCAAGACTCCATTTTCATTTTACCAATCTTTCATGTAGAATTTATGTACCAGGCTGCTGCTATATGCCCAGCAGACAGAGAAAAATCAGACATGAGGATGCCCCAGTTAGAATCCAATAAACATTGTGATGGAGAATATGATGGGGCCATATAATATGGTCAGGGAAAGCCTCTGTTTGGCTAGGGTTCTCCAAAAAAAAAAAAAAAAAAAACAGACACAAAAACATGATTCGCTTTCCAAGAGATTTTGAGGGGAAACATCTGTGAAGGAAAAAAAAGGGAGGGGCATGCGGAGGCAGGCAGTGATGTGGGTCTGAGACCTGTGAAAGGAGAGGGGAAGAAAGGAGTGGGTAGGAAGAGCCTCGGATCTAGCACAATTGTGAGGAGGTCTTAGCTAGGCCCATGGCGAGTGCCCAGGCAAAGGATGCCCGTGAGAGGAATGAATAGCGCTTGTAGCTCCAACATGCTGAGTAACGAGCAAGTGACCGGGCACAGCCTGCAGGAAGCATGGTCTCTCTGTGAAGGCAGTGGGAGATCCAAAGTGGCTGGAAGCTGAGGCTGTCTGCCAACTCTGCTCCCTGCTGCTTGTCCTCCTGAAGAAGCTCTAAGCAGTGCATGTCCACGGTCCCACAGCCTCCTTTGGGAAGAGACTTTTAAGGTAATGTCTAATGGACAAATAGGAGTCAGCAGAGGGAGAGCATTCTGTGTAGAGGGAACAGCATGGGCAAAGGTCCTGAGGTGGGAGGGATCATGGCACTTTCAAAGACGTTAAAGACCAGCGTGTCTGGGATGCACAGAGGGGCAGGGGTGGGTGGAAAAATGGTGGAGAATAAGGCTGAAGAGGATGGCTGGGGCCAGACCTCATACCTGACAATATCGCAGCAGACTCCACCCAGAGGTTTTGTCCCCAGACTTTCCCAGGGCAAGCTACACGTTGTCTCTATTTTGCCTGTGTGTCTTTTGCCCTGTCGCAGAGCACTGTAGGGGACGCGGCTCCAGTTCCAGCTCCTAGCCTGCCACTTCCTGGCTGGTAGGTGACTTTGGGTATTTCTTCTTCTTCTTCTTTTTTTTTTTTTTTTTACCTTTCTGAGCTTCAGTTTCCTCAGCTATAGAATGGGGGTGATAATAATAGTGCCTTAATGTAAAAAGTAAATGAGCTACTGTATGTAAAGGGCTGAGCCTGGCATACTGTAAGAGTGCCTGAAGGGTGCAAATTAGCAGAAGTAACAGTAGTGGCCAGACTCAGTAGAGATATGTTTTTTTAATCAATAGAATTCGTATGTCAAGAACCTATATAAAAGTTGTAATAAAAAACCCAAAATTTCCATTTATAACACTAACTTTAAAGTTGGATTATAAATACACTTTTTTAGAGTTTAAGGAACTTGTAATACAAGACATAATAATAATAATAAACACAGCAAAAGGGCTTGTTTTTTTAATTTTAAAAAATTTATTGATTTGAGAGAGAGAAACTTCAATTTGTTGTTCCGCTTGTTTATGCATTTATTTGTTGATTCTTGTATGTGCCCTGACTAGGGATCAAACTTGGAACCCTGGAATATCAGGATGGCACTCTAACCAACTGAGCTACTTGGCCAGGGCAGGGATTATTGTTTGTTTGTTTGTTTGTTTGTTTTTCAGGGCTAGACACCATGTACCAGGCAGGCACTAGCTAAGTCCTTTGCATGCTTTAATCATCCAATCTTCACAATAACTCTGAGTGCGATATTAACTCCATTTTATAGGTGTGGAAACTGAGGCTCAGAGAGGTTAAGCAATGCATCTAGATTGCAGAGCCAGGAAGTGGATGGAGCTAGAATCTCAAGCTCTAGTCTCTCTCTGAAACAGTGAGCTATTCTCATTAAATGATGTGGCCTCCATAATCATCAGTGCTTTGGGGAGATTTTCTAAGCACTTGAGTAAATGAAGAAATGACTTTTGTTCCAGGACATTGCAAAAATGCAGTTCTTTCCACAATTTGCATATTTATTGCAACACCAATAAAATTCCCAACAGGACTTTTTGTGCAATTGGACAGAGTAATTCCACATCAGGCAAGAAAAATCCACACTTATTTGGACAAAAAGCAAAAGGATGAAGGGTGACTCCCACCCACTGGTAAAATTTTTTTTTAAGAATAGTAATTAAAAGATGAAAGAGAAAGAAAGACAGAGAGAGGAGGGAAAGAAAGAAGGAAGGGAGGAAAAGGGAGGAAGAAAGGAAGGGAGAAAAGTCTAGTAGTTAGGGTGTGTGGAACTGGAGTCAGATAGACCTGGGCTTGACTCCCAGAGATAATGCTTTATTAACTGGGTGAATTTGAGTAGACCAGTCTGGGCCTCAGTTTTTGCATCTGTAAAATGGAGGTGATAATGCCTGCTTTGTAGGGTGGTGGGGATAAAATTAGTGAAGCACCTGTAATGACATACAATACACCCTGAACAAATGGCAGCTAGTAATGGTGGCAATAGTAGCAGTGTATCAGGTTTAAAACAAGGATTTGAACTGTTAGATGTGCAGTTTAGTATGTTATTCCTGAACAGGAACTCACTCAAATGCTCAATCTTTCTCTCCTTGGCTTGCTCCTTGCCTCGGGATGGACCCCCTCAGGAAGGGCAGTTTGAATGGACCAATGGCTCCTCCTATGACTATAGCTACCGGGATGGGAGCCAGCCGGATGACGGCATCCATGCCGACCCAGGAGAGGAGGACTGCGCACAGATATGGTACCGGCCCGACAGTGAGGGGTGCCCCTGAGACCAGGGCCCTTGCAGTGGTGCTGGGGAGGCACCATCCATGGCCAGAAGACTGGTGAATTAGGTCTCTGGGACATAAGGAGCATGGCCATCCTCCGTAGTGGATGAATTTTAAATAATATTTAATGGTGCATTGTTGACATACACACCATGATTTGGATGAAAAGACATTAGAGGTGGAAGCATGAGAAAAGGATAGTGCTTCTATGTCAGCTCACCAGTGCACCAAAGTGTGAGCCCCTCCCCCAGACTGGCGCTCCTGCTCCTGATTATTAGAGCAAGGTTGTGCCTGGGAAGCACTGAGGGGCCAGTAGTGAGAACAGTATACTCCTGAGTTCAAACCCTAGCCTTGTTGCTTTCTAGCTTTGTGGCCTTATAAGGAATTATTCATTTTCTCTGAAATTCCGTTTCCTCTTTGGTAAAGTGGGTTTAATAATGTGTCTACCATCAGGGCTGTTCTGAGACTTAAAGGAGGTACAGTAGCCTCACCGAGCATCAACAAGAAAGGGATGCCAGTGTAGGCATGAGGCCTACCGTAGAAGGCTTTTACTTCAGTGAGGGTGATGGGTACTTTTATTGTGGTGGGTGGGCCTTCATCCAGGTTCTCTGCTTCTTCTCACCACAGCTCTGAGGTCATGGAACGATAACACCTGCAGGCAAAAGTTCCCCTTCGTCGGTAAGATTGGATCTCTGACCATTCACTGACCCAGCCTTGTCCCTCGGAGCAAGCCCAACTCTAGCACCATCTTGTAGCTGTGCCTAGTGTAGAAGTGACACTCAATAAATGGAAAACACAGAAGAGATAAGTCTCCCAGACAGAGATTTTAAACAAGCAAATCTTGACACAGAGCGGTTACTTGGTCACAAGTGACAGGAAACCCAATTCAAACTGGCTTAATAAATAAAAATGTTGGTGGATTTATTGATCCAAGGAACAAAAGGCCAGGGGCTGGTCGAGATTCAGAGCTGAATCTCCTTGGCCTGGCTTGCGGCACATGTGCATTCCAGAAGCGCTCCCTTTGGCCTGTGCTCCCTGACCAGGCTTAGATGCACATTGCTGGGGCAGAGAAGGGAGGCAATCAATATCGTCAACCACATGGGCTTGAAGGGCGGGGCGGTTCCCCACAGGAAAGTGGAAACATTGCCAAACTCATACATTGCTGGTAGGAATGGAAAATGGCGAAGCCGTTCTGGAAAACGGTTTGCTGCTTTTTCAAGTTAATATAGAATTACCAGATGACCCAGCAATTCTAATTCTGGGTATGTTCCAGAGAACTGAAACTAGGCAGCATTCAGACATCACTGATTATAGCAGCATTGTTCATAATAGCCCCCAAAATGGAAACATCTTCCGGGGTACCACCCGGATGGCCCCATTTCATGGTCAAGATTCCTGCCAGGGCCCTGATGGTAGCATGACAAACAGCCTTGGTTGGGGCTTAAGTGCTTTTGAAGTCTCGTCACTCTCAGTCCAGGGCTTGGTCTGCCCTCGTGCCACAGCAGATGAGAACTTCTGCGACTGCAGCCAGAGAGACTCTTGGCTTTTCCTCCTGGAGCAAGTGTCTGTAACTCGTCCTCAGCTGTTTCTTATGTTTCTGTAGTAGCAACAGCCATCCAATCTAATTACGCTTTCAACTACCTGCATTACTCCTGCTAGTGTACTCCCTCCCCGGGACACCTTCCCAGTTCACTCCATAAAGTTCGGACAGCCGGACACCACCTTGTGCCGCGGCTGTCTGTGTTCCGCACGCCACCACGGATTGCCGACCTGGAGGAAAGCGGTCCAGCTCTGAGGCCCCACCTGGTCGCCTGCTTCCTCAGATGCTCTCGGTATCAGTGATTCCAGATCAGGTTCTCTGGAAGCGGCTGCTGAGACAGTGTGGAGTAGATGTTTATTAGGGATCAACACTTGTGAAGACAAGGCAGAGGAAGAAATGGAACTGAGTCATGGCCTGACAAATGATCAGTCAACCTGCTAGGGAGACTTGTGGCAAATATTGTCCATCAGAGTGGACCACATAGGACTGGCCTGGCCCGTTTACCCCAACTTCACTCAGTCGCTGATAATGGGTTTCCCTGGAAAGGATGTGACTTCAGCGAAGGCAACGCTCTGTAGCTGAGGCTGACCCTGAAGGAGATGACAGCTGGAGGTCCTGCTGTTCCCCCCTTGTAGGGGCATTTGGGAGGCGCATCTACGTATTATCACATCTGAAATCAAAAAGACATGGATTCACATCCCCCCACTGTCACTAACGGTGTGACCTCATGGAAGTGGCTTAAGCTCTCTTGAGTTTCGGTTTTCTCCTTTGTAAAATGGAAACAGTCTCTTCCAACTCTTACTGTGACTTATCAGGCAGCTTTGGGAAATAAGAAGTCTGCAAAGATTACTTCTCCAGAAAACTAAAATTTATTCCTCAAGCATCACAACTATCTCTATTTTACCACTTTGGATGGAAGTCTTTCTAAACCACCATATACATTTCCCTGCTTTCTTAAACAGAAGATGCCAAGAGGATTTGTCCTTACTTGATGAATCAGTGGGCTGCATCTACTTCAGGTATTTTTGTCTCCTGTCATCCTATCTGGGTGTCATTGTGCCAGTCTCTGACAGCTCACAGAACCCCCCATCTTTTCTAGGCTGTTGCTGCTGAGATGCTGTGGGAGGGAATAATGAGAGGGAGAGAGATCAATCATAAATGATGAGTGGATGGATGGGCGAATGGATGGATGGATGCATGGGTTCATAGATGCATGGCTGCATGGATGGATGGATGGATGGACCGACAAGGAGGCAATGAGGAATCAACCCTAAATTGCAAACTGGGGAGAGGGTTGAAAACACAGAAGGCTGACCGCAGCCTCAGGGCAGTCTTCTCAGAGAAGGGCAGGGCTGCGTCTCCCCCCATGAGGGGTCCTCAGAGGGCGCACGTTTCTCCTGTGCTCAGTTCATAAGTAGGGTGTTCTTGGTGGAGCTGTAAGAAAGACTCAGGGGATGTGTCCACTGTAAAAATAAACAGATGGGGCATAGTTAAGTGGTTTGCCCAATTTGAAGGATAATAATAATTTTTTAAAGAAACAGAGAAGTCAGACCTCTGTTATTTTGAAGCAAATTTCAGAGCCAATGAGCCAATGTCTGTCTTTTTAAAGAGGGTCCAACCAGATGGAGTGCTCTTTTGAGGAAGCCCTATGTTCCTTCTCCTATGTTAACATGCTAACATGCTAACAGAAGATTCCAGGGCTTTCTCTTCCAGTCCAGGTTCAGCCACACAGCACTCCTTCCTAACACCTACTAAATGTCAAGGACTTTAGCCATGAAAGCTCACTTCTTTGTTTCAACAACCACATGACAGATCTGCCAACCGTGTGTTGTAAATGTGAACATCATCTGTCATCTATGACATGGTGAGATGGGGGATAAACAAGGTTGAGAACCAGTGCTCTAAAGTAACTGACAAATATGTAAACTATGGCATATTTGTTCAGTGGAACTCTGTGTGGCCTTTACTTATCATTTAAAATATGTCTGGGACATATTGTTGAGGGATAAAAGCAGGTTGCAGGAAAATGCATAAAATATTACATCACTTACATATCCAAAATCTCCCCCACAGAATTTTACCTTGTATTTCTATAGATACATGTATCTGTAAATATGGAATAAAAAGTCTAGAAGGATTCACACAAAGGTGTAAAATTAAGGACCTCAGAGATGGGAGTAATAGTCCCAAGGGAAAACTTTAGATTACTCTATAAATTTTTACAATGATCATTTATTCATATATCATTGTGTAGTTAAAAACATATAGCCGCTTTTAAAATAAGTTTCAGTCCATTCTCTCTCATAACCTCCAGGGTTAGGTTTGACTTGGCCAAGCACCCAGGACCATTGGTCTCAGGACCAGTTACTAGGACAAACATTGATATGTTTAATATATTTATTACGAAAATGCTTTCAAGAAGGTAGTATCAATTTCTACTCTCATCTATGCCAAGATGACAAAAACAGTAGCATTCTTTGCTGGTACTGGTTTTAATTAATATCACTTTGATAACCATTGAGGATGAGCATCTTCTCGTCGTGTTCTTGGGCATCCTGAATTGGAGGGAGGAGTGCCAGTTTTTCCAGTCCCCATCGGCTAGGAAATGCCCACCTCCTAGACCCAGTGACTCTTTAATTAACACCTGCCCCTTACAGAAACCGGGCACCCAGCAAACTTCCCCTCTGCAGGAACCTATACTTTTCCCCACGCCTTCCTGGACTCGTTGCTATTTGCCTCACAATAGAAAGACTCCAGCAGTAACATTGGCCTGTCAAAGCCAAGTCTTCTAGGGAGCATTGGTCCGTGTTAATGATACCGTAAATCCACAGGGGCCAGGCCCCAGCTGTGAGACAAGCGCAGGTGCAGGGGAGAGACGGGGAGAAGCCCTGCAGGAGCCTTCAGAGGCTCCACATGCCCTACTCTCTTCTACGTGGGCCCTGGCAGCTTGACATTCGCCGGTACCTCCTTGCCAAGCCCCATAGTGCGTTAGCCACCACCAGCGTCATTAGCTCATTACCTTTCATCCATGCAAACCAGCCCATTGCCAGCCCCAGCCATCGGCTTTACAGAGAATACTGTTGTTGCAAAAAGGGCCTCATAGTAATAACAGAGTGGTAGGGGTAAAACTGTAGGCATCAGAATTTCAATTAGGGACAGACCTGTCTTTATTAGGACAGCATCTTGATAAAACACTTGGTGGGGAAGGGAGCCAAAGTAACAAATGAGATGGCCAAACTACTCCAGATTCAAAATGAATTGGAAATATTTGGTGATCCTGTGTCAAAGATTTATTTAATTCGTCAGTGAAGGAACCAGCAGGATGGGAAAAACTGCTTCAAAGTTTAGGAGAAGCTAATATACACACACCATCATATATATACCCACATATGTTAGGTGGGAAAAAAGAATGCTAGAGTAAATGTTCAAGTTAAATATATAACTAGTTAATGACCAACAGGGCAATAGAACCTATAGGTCAAGAATTGGCAAATGATGACCTGCTCATCGAATCAGACCTACCAACTGATTTTGTATGCCCATGAGCTAAGAATGTCTTTTACATTTTTCAACAGTTGGAAAAAGAAGATGATGTTTCCTAACATGTGAACATGCCATGAAACTCAAATTTCAATGTCCATAAATGAATTATTTTTTTATCCTCAACTGAAGACACACTTACAGAGGGGAAAGGAGGGAGAGAGACATTGATGAGAAACATCAAACAATTGCCTCTTGTATGCACCCCGACCAGGGACTGAACCCATGACCTTTAGGTTTACAGGACTATGCTCCAACCAAGCCGCACCAGCAAGGACCATAAATGAAATTTTACTGGAGCACGGCCAGTCACACATGTAGCAGTTCTGTGGCTGTTTCCACAGTACAAGGGCAGAATCAAATAGTTGCAACAAAGACTGTATAGCCCACAAAGCTTAAAATATTTATCATTTGGCTCTTCACAGAAACAGTTTACTGACCCCTGCTGTAGGATAATAACATGCCAATAATCTTTGAGATTATATCCTCTATTGGACAAAAATCAATTAAACTTAATTTTCTACAAGTTAACATCTAACTTTATACAATCGGAGCCTAATCAATAACAAAGTCAAACTTGTATCCTCTAGAAAACCAGGTAACCTGTAAGCAGACAGTGTTCCAATT